TGGTGTCAACCTCGAACCAGGTGGTGGACGCTCAGATGGGCCCAAGAGGAAGCAAGTTCGCATTAATATTAACCCCAAGTCTAAACACTGGTACTGTTTTGATGAATGTATTTATGATGTCATTTACTAATTCTATTACGATTACTACTATTGATTACTGTCATGAGGAATGTGTGACTAAGGAGAAAGAATTTAGCTTTGGAGCTGTGATGTGCAAATCAGGACAGGATTGCCAACATGAGCAATTCGTCTTCTTGATTTGGGGTTGTCGCGAAAACACATGCTTTGGATAGGCACTCGAAACATCTTGATCCATACCCCATGGAACAAGGGACTCATGCCGAATCAATCGCAGGATGTCCCTGTTTATGATGTTTTGGAGTGAGGGGGTATGGACCAGAAAACGCTACCCTATGGATCCGGGTATGGAATGGGTGTCCGCGCCATGTTCCATACCCCAGCATGTTGAGACCCTCACGTTTCATGGAAGCCTACTACCCGTCCACACTGCAAAGTCTTCAACCCCTTTCGTGGCTGCATGAAAGTATCACCTAAACGCACTTACAATGAGAACCTGCGCCAAACCCTACCAAAGTCTTTCCAAAATCGGGGTTCCCCATACCACAACCCCACTATCTGGACCCCCAAACTTAATCTTCGGAAACCATCCACATCCCTCCGGTGCTCCCGGCCCCGGAGAGCGCAGCCAAAGCATCAGCGTGGCTGACTTGGCGGGGCAATTGACTGTTGAGTTTGTACACTGCTCATGAATGAAGCTGCCGATTATGCAAGCTCACATCACTATGCGCTCACCATGTTAACAAACACCCTTCTAGGATCCGCAGCTGCTATGGAATCCTCAATGAGGCTAGATTAAGGCAGTGGTTCACCTGTTTTGTCGACCTTAACTCCTTCAACGATGGACAGTTCACTGGGCTCAAGCACGGCCCAATCCTTACAGGATTTTTTCAGAGGAGCCCATTCCACTCTGCCAACTCGTGCCCGCAGTTTGCGGAGGAGGCTTAAAAAACTTGGCACCTTGGCAGCCCCAAATCATAAGACACTAAGCCACCCTGCTAGTGCCTTCAGTGAACTGCAGGGGCAAGTGCTAGGGAAGGAAAGTAGGATCCTACATCAGCAACGTTGGAGCTCCAACGCAGCGGACGGCATTCTCAAAAAGGAAACTGCACACATCCAAGACACCTGGAAGCCCTGAAGCCGAAGGCTAACCTTTCGCTGACTTTGAGGCATCCAAGCCTACCCACATGATGAAGAGCACTTGATCTTCCTATGCATTCTGATGCCGAAGAGCCGCTGTGCTTGATGAATAGAAGCTAGTAAGCAACATTGTTGCTGGGCCGACAATTGCCCCTGGCCATAGAATCAACTAGCTTTCATGTTCTTTTCTGGCTCAAGATCCCTAGTTGCTTCCAGCATCATTCCATTTCCTGATTACTGGCAACCAGCAGTTGAGTCCGCTACCGGGATCCTCAAAGAACTGCATCAAAAGAGGAGCGATCGTCGAGGGAAGTGCCTCTCCAGATCAATGCAGATATATTACGAAACACTAATGATACAAAAACCAAAGATGGAGGTACTACGTATAATGAATGGGATATTCGGATATTACCTGACTATGACTTGGGTAACTTGGGTGTTGTCATGCCTAACTTGGGATGGTGCCCAGCGCTTTTCGCTTGAGGTTTCAGTGCAGGAGATGTCTGGGCCGTCTCTGCCTCACTGCACTCAAGATGCTTTCCAGCATGTATGGGCCACATCCCCGAAAAAAAATCTAAACTTGTTGAGCTACGCACCTTAGATGAAGTGCCTGAGTGGTAGCTGCTGTGGGAGAAGGTTCCAAGATGTTCCAAGCTTGCGGCCTTCAGGTCTCATCTTCTTCCCCCTGGATGTACGTAGTCTTTGTAGGCGAAAAGAAAGTGATCCTAGGACCACTGTCCTGAATAGACCTGTGTCCTGTAGATACCAAGGGTCCTCAACTTGATCGGGATAAAAACTTGCTAACAAACACTGTCAGTCAAAGTCGGCCACCAAAATTGTGGGTCTGAAGAGTACGGCGAGCCCAAACCTTTGGAAAGCATCGCATTCAGAAAATGAAGGTCTCCTCAGCCCTGAAACCCTCATGCTATAAAGCTTACAAAGAGAAGCAAAACAGGACGTCCCCTAGCCTAAATGCTGGGTCAAGAGCACTGTCACTTTTTCGGCCATCCTCCAGCACCTATGCATCCGAAAGCTCCCCGAAGCTCTGAGTATGAAAATGCCTTCATCCTCTTGGCAAATCAGGCCCAAAATGTACACGTCCCTGAAAGGTCACAATGCGACCCCTCGGCACTTATGAGCCCAGCCCTCTTCCCTTCTGATTGTCTATACAGCCTCTCTTGACGCAAGCCCTAAAAGATCAAACATGGCATAGTGCTTTTTGTAGCGAGAGGTGGCTTTTTCTTTTTTTTACCATCTGCCGGGACCACCTTCTTCTGCCAGCCTACAGGAACCTGATGCAAAATCAACTGCAGGCCCAAAAAATGTTTTTGACATGAATGGTCGCCGAAAATGCGTTTTGTTCACCTAGAATCTCCAGTCCGCCAACTCTTTGCAAGCCGCTCAAGCAGTCAGGCACTAGATGGCAGTTTGAGGGCAAATTCTGTGCCAGTAGCCCAAATTGAAGGGACCCCAGGCTGACAAGATAAAATGCTTCCTGGGCTAGTACAGCCTTTAATGACCTGAGTGCAACTCTGCATAAGTCACTGCTATAATCCCTGCGTAACACCAAGGTCCCTGAAATTTCCCAGGCCATCCTCCGGATCGAATTTCACAGCTGTGGCTAGCGATCCAAGCCCACCGGCCATCTCGAGAAGAGCCTTGAGATGAAACAAAAACAACTCAGCTCGGTCAGGGGTGAAGAATGGAAGGGGGGCGAAAAGGAGTGGCGTCGGGTTGGAGTGTTTGGGTTTGTCAGGCTTGGTTTTTCGATAAGGAATGGGAACCAAGAGCTGAGGCGGGTTGCGTGCTCCCTTTTTGTAGTGACTGAATTTTTGAAGAGAAGTCATGCATAGCTGAAATGGGCACCGCAAAAGGTGCAGCGCATTAGCCTCAAGGTAGGGTGGACTCACCGCAGGCTAAAGCACAGCTAGGGCTCTACGTGCTCTGAGTAGAATCCAAGGTACGTCTAAGGTGAAGCATGCAACACAACACGACTGTAGGTTCACACCACTAAAGGTCAGTATGAAGTATGAAGGATTCACTACGAAAGCGGAGATTTGAAGTTGGCTGTAGCAATTGCTGTACTTGCTGATTCGGTTTTGTGGTTGCCTCAGTACATGCTGTGCTTCAAACTTTCTATCTAACTGTAGCCAAATACACCGCGAAACCCTACTCTGACGAACTATGCCCCTACAGAAACTTCTGTATAAATGTCGCAGTTCCCTCAAAGTGGGATAAAGACCCTAAACCCTGAACCTTTAACCCTAAACCTTTAAACCCGGTGATGAAAATCATGTAGTTGATGATGATGATGATGAAGATGATGTAGTAGTAGTAGTAATAGTAGTAGTAGTAGTAGGAGGAGTAGTAGCAGTAGTAGCAGTAGTAGTAGCAGCAGCAGCAGCGGCAGCAGGAGTAGTAGTAGCAGCAGCAGTAGCAGTAACAGTAACAGCAGCAGCCGTACCAGCTCGTCTTTCCCACGGTCATTGACCATTGCGGTATAGGTCCCAAAACCGGTGACACTTGTTGCAAGCGTCGTTAACACGGAAGTTCGAAAACTCTGGGCGCCACTTTTCCAGTTATAAAAGAAGAACAAACGTTAGTGTATGGGACCTGTTCATGGTTAAAATCATGGAGAACGAAATGCACAATCATTGGAAGCTGGGTCCACATGCGAGTTTTATGTGGATTCTATGCGGGGCTTTGTTCAATAGTACAGAAACGCCCAAAAGAAAAGACTATTGGCAAAACCTCAAGCCCCTACAACAGCTATATTTAGGGTTTCTACCAAGCTACTATACCCTTATAGTATTTTGGGGTCTACCTATTTAGGGAAACTACCATATCTGTCTGTTTGCGCCTTGGAATCACTGGAGCCTAAACCCTAAACCCTAAATCCCAAGCCTTACACCATCCACCCGATGCTGAGAACCCCATTATATTTGAGTAAGGCGAAGGCTATTCCGCAGCTCCAGGCATCTGCCGAATGGGGCCAGTAGGGACCTGCGGTTTAGGATTCATGGGTGTGTGGGTTATTGAGCTCAAGTCCAAGGTTTAGGCTTTTGGGTTGTTAGTTTCGGGCCGTTTCGGGCTTCTGGCAGCTCGAGCCTCCATGTAAGGCTGATGAAGCCGAGAATGGATGTATCGAGGCCAAAGTGAGTTGAGCGGGCTTTGGGGCCTTGAAACTTTAGTTGTACCCTTATGAGCTTTTCTTTGTAAGAACCCGAGCCCCGTACTTCCTCCAGCTCTCGTTTTTAAAGCCTCCAGTCCTAGACCCCCGAACCCAAAAAGCCAAGCTCAACCCAAATCCAGAACAACTCCACATACAGATGTCAAGGTTCATGGGAAGTGATGCTTAAGCAGGATGATGAGTCTGCTGATTCGATTCGGGCTAGAACCATGACCATCCTGGTCACAATCCCGCTTAGAACTAGAATGAACCTCGGAGTCGTTCATCAACCTGAATGGCCCATGCTTTTTGGACGTTTCCGGGCCCTTTAAATTTTCAGGCAGCCGCAACCATCAGCCGACGTATCGTGTATGCTCCGATTTCAATGGCTTAACTAGAATATACAGAGCTCAGCAGGACACACAGGACACAGGGTGTGCAGTAAGTACTTAGAAAAGGCTGGGGAAAGATATGATTGCCATCTTGGCAGAGTAGACACGAAGAGCTTTGCTCCGCGATGCCTGCATTCGTGTAGGCATCTTCTGACACGCATCAATGGTGCGTTCTGACTCTGACTCAGAACACCCAAACACAATGCAGCATGAAGCCTCTCTCACCCAAAAAGATCAAACGAAGACTGCTCCGATTCTGACTCAGAAGTATCTGGCATTCCGCGTGGTTCAATTTGAGCCCCGGCAGTCTCTGCTCTAGGTTCTGTCTCCTGCAGTAAGCACCTCATCCGCTCTGCCAGGTCGAACAAGACGACTGGTGATGCTGCTTGAATTTTGAGCATATCTTCATGACTGCATTTGCGGGCAAGAGCCTCAAGGCAGCGATGGTATTGCTTACTGAGACCGTGCTGATGGGCTTGCAGGAGTCGATCACAAGAAACAGGAAGTTTCAGAAGCCCTTCCGCGCAGCCTTCCTTGATAAAATTGACTTGGTAGTAGTCGCTCATGCGAAGCAAGGGGTCGACGTTGTCTTCGCTCACCACCTCGCTGTTGAAGACGCCGGGGATCAGCAGAGAATAGAACAAGTCGAAGTCTTCTTTCGTGAAGAACTCAACGCTCACCACGCTCTCTTGAGCTTCCTCAACACTGGCTCGGTTCTTACCAGCTTCACATCACGGGCTAGAAGACTTCAAGTGTAGAAGTTCACAAAACAAAACGACATCTTCTCTCTGCGGGCAAGCGATTCTCTCATCCCGGACGAGAACATGCCATCAAAAACAGGAGACGCAATGCGCAGCAAAGTAGAGCACGCCGGCTTATGCTCAGTACCGACGCCAAAGTTGAGCCGAATATCATTGAGGTGGTCCTTGTTGATCCCTTAGACAAACAAAGACTGAGGTGATGTAGATGTTTGTCATGGCTTCGGCCATTGAAGCCGCAAGATCCCCAGCATGAGCCTTCACATCGTGCAAACCCCAATACGCAAGAAGACACCCTGAAGCCAACTTGCACTCTGAACTCTAAATCCCAAGCCCAAATCCTGAAGCAGGAAAACCGCAAATAGTACTGCTGGTGCATGCGCAGAGCCAATGTTCGGTGCGCCGCCGCATGCTCTTCTGGGCATGTACTTTGGGTTTGAAGTGCTGGGGCCTCAAGAGTGTCCTGCAGGGCCGGGAGGCCTGGACGCATTTTGCTAGGGGGGTAAGCACCTGCCGCAGAGCACCAGTCACGAAAGAGAAGCTAGATAACTGGGAGTTGGTTCTTTTGAAGAAGAGCCCTCTCCCAAGAATCCTTTCCACCAGTTAGTCCTAGAACATAATACGGGAAAGTATGCTGATCAGTTGGGATTCTTCTAGGGTAGTCCGGCTATCTTGAATAAAGAGTCCCCAGGCGTATTTCTAAAAAAACAGCAATGCTTCATTATTGCGGGGGCCGGGAGGTACAAATGACCCATGACATTTCATGCCGTAAGCCTGGGGGCCGGGGTTTGCTAAGGTCTGGGTAATGCCGGACATACTTCAGCAATGATGCAGCAAACTATGCCATGCAAGGTCTTCATTTGTAGTTCCCCAGTTCCTGCAGTGCACCCATCGAGGCCCCTGTGCGTTGCGCCCCTGTGCGTTGCATGGCTGCAGGCTATGGTGTCGGCCACCTGAACCTACTCCAAGCGGAAACGACTTACATTCCTTTCAAATGCGTCCTTGATATTGATAAAGACATCCACTGAAAAGATCTTGAAAGCCGGGCAATAGCGCAAAACAAGTCCTCAAGCGTGGGCTTAACAAGTGTCAAACCGTGGCGGATGCAAGGCGTGCAGGGGCTGGAATCATAAGAGCAGCAGATATGGCAATGGCAATGCGGCAATACCATTAGCAGCTATCAGCAGTATCATCAGTAGCAGTAGGCCTTCTAGTACGGCAGTGAGGGTAACAATGAAACACAAAGCATAGCAACGTTAACGTGCAATATACGATGCTAACAGGTGGACATTTCAGAATGATATATGTTCAGAACATATTCAGCTTCCCAAACTACATAGTTCGTCAGGAGGACGAATTGCTTCTTGCCTAACACTTCGATCACTAAGCCCATGAGTCCAGATTGTCACACCTTCATTTCTCTGAACCTTCAGCCCTCAGCTACCTCTGAGCTCCTTAACCAGCCTCCCAATGCCATTTCTGGAGCCATGTACGGCATGGAGCCCACAACCTGTAAGTGCTTGGAGTTTGGTTGCAAAGGTTTGACTTATGCGCCATGTGGTTCACTTCTGGGGTCCATTCAATGCCTGCATAACGCGTCCATGAAGAGTGACCGCGAAAGGGATCTGAATGCATTTGAAATGGCCCAAGGGCTCCTTTCGCATTAGCAAATATCAGAAGCTCTTAATCTTTGCGTTGCCTATCAGTTTCTGTTCATGCCTTGCTGCTCGGCCGTCAATCTTCGGGGCGACTCGGGCAGATTGGCGGCGACTCGCTGGGCAATTCATTTACTTTGCAGTTCGCAAAGTGTCCAGGCATGTACTGTATAGTTGAGCCCCAAAGTACCTAATATGGAATCGCTTTCACAGATAATTACATTATCAGCTGCGCGTACGTACAGACATGCATGCATGTACATCCATACATGCCCACCTACCTACCCACCTACATGCATACATACGTACATGTATGCACTCGTACATGGATGCATGCATGCATGCATGCATGCATGAATTCGTACATGTATCCCCGGAGTTTCTTGTTGCATGTCAGGTTGAAAGCGCTGTGACATGTTACCGTTCACTGAATCCTCCGGCAACCAAAGCAACCCTGGGAGTTTCTACAAGGGACAGGGGTACCCTGACAATTTCGGATGCCAGGGATGTCTTGGGGGGATGCTCTCAGGAATGCGCAGGTGCAATTGCTCCTGTTCGGCCTGAAAATCTGCTTCTACAGATGCGGTATCCGAGCATGATGCACCCCCCCCAAAGAACAGCACATCTCGAGTTCTACGGGACCTGACCAGCCACATTTTGTTGAAAACGCATCCTATCTGCAGCTCGAGCCTTCAAAGCCTGAAGCTGCCAGGGGTCATCTGGCCATCTTGGGTACCCAGGGGTGCAAGTATAGGAATCGACCTTCAGATTCTGTACCTGAAGCCGTAAACCCTGCACACAATGATTCGATACCTACTGCAAACATGCCCGAGAAGCTGTCCGCGAAGTCATGTCAGCTCGCACCAGCATAGCGTGCCTCATGATTGTACGTCTGACAGCTGAAACTTGTTGTGCTCCGATTGTTATCCGTTTAATGCTTGCAGTGCTGTTGCCAATATGCGATTGCTGACTGCTTGCCAATCTAATGCAGATGTTGTTTGTGTTTTTCTGATGGTGTGTGAGCGACCCTAAGAACACGTGTAAGCAGCTCTTTCACGTATAGCACATGATCGGGAAGGTATACACCCTTCTTGATATCCCTACCCACCCTTGCAGTAGAACTGCCATAGGATCCTATACGCAGATGCTCCAGCAACCACCCGACTCTGCAACATGATTGTAGAAACTCTTGCTGGCATCTCTCTGATGGGGAATTTTTTCTGAGACGTCCACCGCAAGCACAAAGGCATTGCGCGGAAAGCAGGGCCCCTGATAAGCGGTGATCTTGTTTCCCCCGAGCAGCATAGTTCCGGGATTGCCTGCCCATGTAGGACTGCTATGGTAGTTTCCCCAAAGCAAGGGGCCCCCACTGGTAAATCACCAATATACTACAATCCTCATTCTTCGAACCCCGGAATCCGTATTCCCAATTTTGGGAAACCCCTCATGTAGAGAAACAAGCTCCGGCAGGCAGAATGAGAAGATCGGTGGGCATGGGGCATGATAAACGGGGTGTTCCCCAAATTAGGGATACTTTTGGGGTGTCTTTATCATGTATAATACTAAGGATTATCGTAATTTGGGATCTATGTTGGGGTTCCCTCTATTTATGGCAACTACCACATGTCCCCTCTGCTCTTGGATTAAACCATAGGATGTTAGCTGCATGCCCATTTTTCCTGCATAGATGCCTGGAGTCCTGGAAGCTCCCGGTCCCATCAACCAAATGGCGAGAAAAAGGCCCCAAGCTGCAAAACTGTACGCGCTTACGCAGGGTGACTGCTGTGGGTAATTTGCGAGTCACACCGCTGCATTCGCGCCATGCCCTACTTAGAGTGGCGCTCCCTGGAATCAACAGCCTTGAGAAGTATCCCAAAACCAGCTCATGGATATGTTATCTTTGCGGGGCACGAGTCCTGCTGTCAGGTGGTTGTGACATGGGTCTGACTTGCATGCCTGCAGTGACACAACTCCAAGTACATGGACCCCAACACGGGGCCCCAACATGTCAAGAACTACCCATACCTCCCTTCTCGAAACAAAATCTCCCTTTGCCCCCCAGAGCAACAAGATCCTTAAGTGTTGCAGGAATAACCCTTGATGTAGAAATACACAAAAAAGGAAACCTAATGTTGAGAACTACCCTAAAATCTAAAAAATGAGGTGCCAAACTATGCCATAGCCATAGGTGATACTGATGTCAACAGGCAAGAGCTCACTTCTGAGGTAGCTGAGCCTGCCGCTGAAAGTCCACGATTCGCACGTGCTCCCTGCATCAAATGGGTACTTCTCATTGAAGGGCACTGGGGGTCCCCCATACTAACTTATTAGCCCCCATAGTAATATAGTAGTTATATAGTCCTTATCACAAGGACCCTCATAAAGCAAATGAGAAACTCCCTAGTCCCTCATCTGGGAAGCTGTTGCGAATGAACGCATTAATGCGAAAAGATGAAGCATGTGTTTGCCAACCATCTTAGCTGGGGACTACCCATCTATCTGAGAAGCGCATCTCCGCCAACAAATTTCATGAGTTGCAGCTCTGTATCAACTATTGCCTCTGACCTGATGCTCCAAGTCAGGCAAGTACCTCTTGAGCAAGATTATGCAACCCGCCGTACCAATGCAAGGCTGTAGAGGTACATCATACCGCAAAACATCCAGTGCCATGCAGCCAAGAGGAGACCTCGCGTCGCGGCTCATCCCTTGAATGAATTGTAGGGTGTCAGCTTCGGGGCAACAACTAATTCTCTCAGTGCCCACCAATGCGTCCTCAAAGCTCCATTCCTTCCAGGAGCTTGCACCAAAACATCTTTGCAGATTCCTTGTAAAGCTTCATTGTAGCAATGGATATCCCCGTAATCTTGCCACAAGCGCTACATTGAGGTGTCTCTAGCTAGCCATGTTGCGAAGAAATCTTGAGACATGCCGCTCTGGGTTCGCATCCTATAGGGGCTTTATTCCAGCAGCGTCACGCTCCGCTACATGACGCTGCAGCGCAGTGGGAGGGAAAATGATTCTTGGAGAAATGACGTGAAGTTGTGAAGTGAATTGCGAGCATAACCCTTTATGCTACCTTGACATACACTCCACCAAGTTTGTAAATTCCTTATTTACCAATTCAAGCTAAAATCTGGCCTCCGTACGTGGTTGCTGTTTGGCGTGCGAAGCCATAATTAATTCTTGATGGCAAATGGGCATGTCTTGCAGCAAAAATGGAGGACATTACTCCTTGATTTTCGATTTCGTGCTCATCCATCTCTTACAGTACCAGCTTCTCAGCCCTGTTGCTGAATAGTGAGTTTCGGTTTCAAAGGGTGGGGGAATTTCAGCAGCAAAAGCCCTAAACCCCAAACTTCCAACCCCCAATCTCAAAAGCCCTCAACCCTCAAACCATTACCAGTATCATCCCTCAATTGGCCCTAAATAGGCCCATATCGGCCTGTCAGAGCCTGCCAGCGTGGACACCACGAGGTGCCGCAGGCAAATGTTGCGGTGGGCAATGTTCTGGCACATGGTAGCGCGGTTTAGGGTTTAGGGATTAGCGTGCATGTAGCGTGTGGCTTACGTGATGTC